TTAAAGTCGAGAAGAATATTTGAATATCTTGAGAAACTTTTGACTCATGAGATGTCTACATTTATTGACCTTAGTAAGTAGCTCAGTCCAGATAATTTCCTGAAATGGGACCGTCAAAGCTGTAAAACTGTGTTTGTAAGAGTAATCTTTTCAGTTGTAGATAGGTTGGTTGTGATTCACTCTCTCTGTTTTTAGTGCATTTGTGAGGCAGCGTGGTGGAATCAGGCTCCCGTCAAAATAATGAAATCAAGCAATTTTTATCAAATTTTTGTTTTTTTGGCTCAACACCTTTTGTGTCCATTTGCAAACACATTCCTTTGAGGATTTCACCTAAAAACGTTGATTAAAGGCACAAACATATAAATTAACAGTTTCCATGGACTCTCCAGCTTTGGAATTTACCAAGCTTTGGCGGCCATTTTCTAGCTAATTTTACCCCTTAAACCAGGTGACCCCCAACTCCTTCAATCCAAAATATCTCCATTTCTATTAAAGATGGAGGGATAATTTTTTCATTGAAAGCAAGACAAATGAACAAATTTTAGGATGATACCAATAACTCAATATGCCCAAAAATTGACGAGAGCCTGATTCCACCACGCTGCCTCACATTTTTATTTATATACTTTTCCATGCAGAACCAGATGCAGTTGAATGAATTTTTTTTTGTCTTCTTTTTTTTTGTTTTTGTTTTTGTTGGGTTTGTTGGGTTTTTTTTGCTACACATGAGCTTTGAACTTGGTTGTATATGTCACTGAAGAGTTTTACATAATATGACGATACATGAATTATACATTTCAGACAAATGTGTCATGATTTTTTCTATGATAAGAAGAAGGATCAAATTTTCAGATATTGAAAAGACTTGTTTCTTGTTGTTTCTTCAATAACATAATATCATGACTTGTTTGAACGATTCCAGTGGGTGGTTGACAGGTGCTATGGTGTGGTTTGCTCCTTCTTTCCTATCAAACACCTATCGTCCTTATCTCTTCTTCTTTTCTGGACATGGATGGCTGGTGCCTCTATAAATAAATCATTGATGGTCGGTCTCTTCTTCTTTTTTATGTTTGTTGCTCTCTTGTAACTCCTCTAATCTTCTGCACTTCTATGACCTTATTGTTTTGCAAGTGCCGCAAAACACGTGAAAAGTTATAGAATGATTCCATATTAACAAAAACGATTACGTGCAGCCACGTCCATGTTGGTGGTCAGGGGTGCTCTTGCGGGTGGTTGAAGGGCGCCACTGGTAGGTCCTACTTCTTTATTTTCCCGCTGTTGTTTCTGTCTGTCTGTCTTACGTTTCCCAGCGCTATTAAATTTAATAACCATTATTGTGTCGATGTGCTTCTCCTTACTCAAACAAACAAACGAACGAACGGGTGCTCTGGTGTGGTTAGCTCCTTCTTTCCTTTCGCACATCTCGTCGCCTCAGAACTATGTCGGTGGGTGGTTGGCGGGTGCTCTGGTGTGGTTTGCTGCTTTTTTCCCCATCAAACATGATCTATCGTCTCTATCTTTTTTGTGTTTGTTACTCTCTTGTAACACCTCTAATCTTCGGCACTTATATGACCTTATTGTGTTGCAAGTGCCGTAAAAGCTCTACTAAAAGTAAACTAATAGCTCTAATCTTCGGCACTTATATGACCTTATTGTGTTGCAAGTGCCGTAAAACTCTTACTAAAACTTAAAAGACCAAACGCGAAGTGCGTGAACGACAGCTCTTTCAGGTGTGTTGGGCTGCAGCAGTCCACTCACTCGGTCTTCAAGAGGGCTCAAGGCCTCGTGTGCCCTCGGGGTCTCACACTTTTCCACCTTAACTAAATCAAACAGAAACAATAAAAGCATCAACAACAACAGTAGCAACAATAACAACAACAACAATAACACGACGGTGGCATCTCTTCGGGGAGGGTTCAGGGAGGTTGGACTGCCTCACCCGCTACCCAAGAAAGGCGGTGGCCCGTTTGCGAAGAGCACACTCTTCGGGGCTCCGAACATTTCAAACGGATAGGCTACCACACACACACAACAATAACAACAACAACAGTATCAGCAGAAGCAACAACAACAACAGCAGCAGCAAGAACAACAACATCTATAGCAGCTGCAGCAACCTCAAACATTCAACAAAAAGACACCCGGAATCACTCGTTTAGTTCATACGGGTCTTTCTTGGTTCAGGATCATAATATTTACCACTTAATCTCGAATATAAATAAGCTAAATACTGGTATAAAGTTTATTGTCCGATCCGCTAAATACATAAAACGTAAAAGCCAATAGAAAACCCATGTTCACAAACACAAACACACACACACAGACACACACACCATATTATTATGTTTTTATATATACGCATGCGCACACACATTCAAACACACACACACACACACACATACACACACATAATATTATATTATATATATACACCCACGCGCGTGCAAACACACTCACTCAAATTTTAATACACACACACACACACGCGCGCGCGCGCGCGCACACACACACACACACACACACACACACACACACACACACACACACACACACACCAATTGATTTAGATAGATTACCACCAGCCATAATAGCCTACTATTATAATAATACTAAATCTTATGCATGATACATTTACCAATATATTATACTATACTCACGGAGTCACTAATGCTCAACTGTGGGAGAGAACAAGCCAAAGGCCAATAAAGGAAGACATACAGGTGAAAAAATGGAAATGGATTGGACACACCCTGAGGAGACCCCCGTCAAGCATCATCAGGCAGGCTTTAACGTGGAACCCACAAGGAAAACGAAAGAAGGGAAGACCAAAGATGACATGGAGACGAGCGGTACAAGCTGAAATTGAAAAAGCGGGGACATCATGGAAACAGATAGAAAAGGATGCTCAGGACAGGCTTCGCTGGAGTAATGCTGTTGATGGCCTGTGCTCCACTGGGAGTTAAAAAGGGCAAGAGAGAGAGACTATACTCACGAGACAAAAGTAAAGTGGGCACATAGAAATCAAATATTGTGCTTGCAAACCAACAGTTAGTAGTAGTACAGGGTTTTACGGCGCTCGCAACTGCTTGCAAACCAATATTCCTAAGAGAATCCATTCCTTTTTCTAGACCACACACACATCATGGAAAAAGTCGGGACGATGAATAAGTCATATTGAAAGGTTCATTTTTGCACAAGAATTAATTATAGATCTATCCTTCACAAGTTGACGCCCTCACCATCCCCACGCCAATGTTTAAGATCACAAAGCCGGTAGGCTACCGCATGTAACCACCTGCCACAGTGATGACTGACATTTTTTAAATTTAAAAAAAAATTTGGTAAGTGTTTTATCGCGCTCGCAACTGCATAAGGTCCTATGAGCGCACGGGACACATTCAACATTTTCAGCTGGTTGGAAATTTTGAATTTTGCCCGGGTGGCGGCCGAAGCCTCCCCTTACCGATTTTGGGCCAACCCAGGGATCTTTAAGGCGCGCAACTTGGACACGCGACCTCCGAGATTTTTTGTCCTTATCCGAGAAGGCTTGGTGTTAGATCTTACGCACCATAAGAACAGGGGTGCGGTTGAAAGACAGCAGTAAGAAGGAGCCAAGGAGTAGCAGTAGAAAGGCAGTAGAAAGAGCCAGAAGCCCAGAGAAGGGAGTCAAAGGAGTTGAAGGGGTGGGGGCAGACAGTGGAGACGAAAGCAGACGACAGAACATTGCTAGCTAGAGAGCAGAAAAGGAAGTGAACGGAGACAATTTTAGAGAACAAAATGTTCCGTTGCTATTCGGGTTCGAACCTGGGACCTATTGAATAAGAATCGAACACCTTAACATCTAGACCACGAGAGCCCCCGACTATTGACTGACTCCGGCGACGAACGTTAAAGATTTTATAATGTGTATTCAAGATTTAGTTTTAGTAAGAGTTTTACGACACTTGCAACACAATAAGGTCAAAAAGTGCCGGAGATTACAGGTGTTACAAGAGAGTAACAAACACAAAAAAGAAGGAGGGTGGGGATAAAGGACGATAGATGTTTGATGAGAAAGAAGGAGCAAACCCCACCAGAGCACCCGCCAACCAGCCGCATTGCACAAGATAAAGATCCCCTGGTGGTCCACTGTTGATGAGAGTAGGCTTCGGAAGCCACCAAGGCAAAAACCAAAATTAATTCCTACCAAACTAAAAATGTTTTATGTGTCTCCCGCATTCATATTCATAACATGGCAGTATGCAGCTGAGAACGCTGTAAAGCTCCTACTGTAACAACAACACCCCTACTCTGGGCTCCTTGCTCTTTCTGCAGCCTTTCTACTGCTACTCCTTGGCTCCTTCTTACTACTGTCTTTCAGCCCCACCCCTGATCTTCTGGTAGGAAAGATCTACACCTAGCCTTCTCGGACAAGGGCGAAAAATCGCGGAGGGCCCGTGTGCAAGTTGCGCACGTAAAAGATCCCTTGGTGGTCTGAAATCGATAAGAGTAGGCTTCGGCCGCTCGCGCGCTCATTTGACCTTATGAAGCTGCGAGCGCCATAAAACTTTCACCACCACCCCCCCCCCCCCCCCC